ATATGTATATATATATATATATATGTATATATGTATATATATATGTATATCATCAACTAATTTGGGAAAGAAAAAAAATCATGCCTAATCTTTGCTGAATAATTTGCATTATATTTTACACCAGCAATTCACCAACATGCATGTCATATATTTATAGACCTGTGTTAATTTGCTTTGACATAAAATTCATTTGAACCAAAATGTAGAAAATGTAATATTACATGCAAAAACATGTTTATGCAAATATTTATTTTTAGTGCAAATATTGTAGACAGTTTACTAGATGAAGGAGGCCACTCAGTTTACCAACCATCGTACCCAACTCTCTGTATATATTGTTATGTTAGACTTGGTGGATTGCAATGCTTTGATACTGTTTTTCTGACTTATGTCTGATTTTTTCCATGTAGCTGACTTTTGGAGGAATGCCTTATTCTGGGAAGCCAGTCTCAGGAGGAAGAAGAAACTTCAAAGGCTGCATGGAAAGCATCAACTACAATGGAGAGAACATCACTGACCTGGCCAGAAGAAAAAAACTGGACACTTCTAGTTTCGTAAGTCTGTTCCCTTTTCAATCAACTCCACAAACCATATCTGCCTAATTAGAGTTTGAGTGCATAACTTTCCCGTTCATGACAGTTCTGTGCATATTTAACACATTTGGGTGGGTTGTTTTTGCCTGGAGGGTTTTGTGGAGGTGTATGACCATGAAGAACTGTGCAAGGTTGACGCTTCAGAATGTAGAGCGGTTCAGATGTGATATTGATGGAGCTTGCATTTTAAACCTCATATCTATGCTGTATGGATCCGTTTCATTTGTTTCAAAATGCTGATGAGAATGTTAATCATCTACACAGATTTGATGACTGGTGTCAGCACTGATAATAATCTAATTTCCACTGCCTGTGATAATACGAAGAATGCAATAATTGCACATTATATCCGATAAGCATATAAGTGTTCTGTGGTTCATTATTGGAACCACAAACACGAAGAAACAATGTTTTTTCTGATGAAAAATACAATCTTATCTCTGCCGTACAGTTACACTAGCACATCATCACAGAACATCTGACAAACATTATGTTAAATGGAAATATGGTTGAATTAGATTCATGTTTTTGTTCCAGAGATTTAGTTTTGTTTTTTTGTAGCTTGTACTGCACAAAATGAAATCTAAAATGAATATTCTATCATTTACTCACCCTCATGTCGTTCAAAGTCTGCATGACTTTATTTCTTTTGGACAAAAGAAGATATTTAAAAGTCATTGAAAGTAATTGAGGTCCAAAACAACACTGACTTTCATTGTACAAAAACCTTCTTATCTTATAAATATCTTCTTTTGTGTTCCACAGAAGAAAGAAAGTCATACAGGCTTGGAACCAGATGAGCAAATGATTGTCAGAATTTTAATTTCTTGGCTGAACTATCTCTTTAATAGTGAGAAAATAGCACAATTCTCCTCCTTTCCAAATTTGACGTGTTCACCATAGACAGGCTCTGAATTATTATTCATGTCTGAAGGATTATGTTCAAGGTTGATAAAACACATCACATGGGCGGAGGTTCTGTTATGAAGCACTGAGGAAGGCTGAGTGCACTTTTCTATTTCATTGTGATGAGACTGATTGAGTTCACTATTTTTGAAATAAGTCTGAAGTGCATTCGGTGCCTCAAAATTACCATTTAGAAGGATGTAGAACTAGAGAGTTATGAAAAAAACCTCTCGCCGTTGCTTCCATGCGGCCCCTTTTCCAGCTTAAGGTTCCGAAATCGACGGCATGGTAGGGAACATGCTATAGCAGCACTTTGAGAGATCTTTCTTTAAGCCCATGTTCCACATGAAAGGTCCTCAACCATTTCAGACGCAGATTTATTTTCTAGTCACTTTATTTCACAGCTTTGTATGTTTATTAAAGATGTTGCATCTGAGAAATACAATATGCAGTGTGTTACATCAAATTTGATGCTGTATAGAGACATCTGTTTAGCAAAATGTCTTAGCTGGTGTTAGCTGGTCTAAGTTCAGCCGTGAAATTGTTTGACTCATAAACAATTATTTAACCATCTCAGTAGGTCTAGGAAATGTAAAGTGTTTCCTGCCTCATTTTCAGCGCAACCTGACGTTCTCCTGCGTGGACACACACACCTTCCCCGTCTTCTTCAACAGCACCAGCTTTCTGCAGCTGCCGGGGAGGAGGGACCACAATATGGTGTCTGTGGGATTCCAGTTCCGTACCTGGAACCCCAGCGGCCTGCTCCTGTTCAGCTCCTTGGCAGATGGAATGCTGGAATTGGCTCTAAACGATGGAAAAGTCACAGCACACATTAACGTCACTCAGCAGAAAAACATGCGCGTGGACATTGCATCAGGTGAGCTGACATTCTTCCCCCACACAGACTCGATGACTGTTACATGGAGATCTCATAAGGTTTCATCAGCCTCTTTTTTAAAAAATGTGTTGTTTTTCTAGAATAGCAGCACCTACTTGATAATTTACTTCATGTTCAATGTTATACGTTTAAATACTGTATGATCAATCAGCACCAGTTTTAGCAATATGGTAAAGTTGCTTCATGTCCCAGAGTTAAACTTTAATGCTCAGGTTTCTCTTTTATAGCTTAAAACCAGTATTTTAATTCAGTAAGTTTTTTTTTAGTTAAACAAGAAAGAGCTGTTTCAGAGGAGGATAAAGTTATTATATTTTGATTAACGATTATGAAAATAAACATCTCTTTTTTTGTGGCAATAGCATCCACCTGTGAATTTTGCACAAGACAGAAATGTGTGTAGAGCAAAACATTGGGGTTCTGGAAGTAAAAATCTCATTTATTTATTATATATACAGACAGAGATAGATAGATAGATCTTCAGCAGCCATTACTTTAGTCTTCAGTGTCAGACGATCCTTCAAATATCACTCTAATATAATGATTTTGTGCTCAATAAGCTTTTTTTTATTATTATTAGCAATGTTGAAAACAGCTGTGCTGCTTAATATTTTCGTGTTAACTGTGATAAATGTTTTTAAGATTCTTTCATGAATAAAAAGTTCAAAAGAACAGCATTTGAGATAGAAATCTATGGAAGCCCATTTCTGCCTCTGAATAAAAAATAAAAAAGGTTATTGCGACTTTTCATCTTACAATTTTGACTTTTTTCTCGCAATTGCGAGTTTACATCTGGCAATTCTGACTTTTTTCTCAGAACTGAGATATAAACTTGCAATTGTGAGTTATACAGTCAGTTTATAAAATCGTAATTCTGAGAAATAAAGTCGCAATTCTGAGAAATAAAGTCTGAATTGTGAGATATAAATTGTGACTTTTTTTCTCAGAACATATCAGTCTTTTTTCCCCCTCAGAATTGGACTTTATAACTTGCAATTTTGAGTTTGTATCTCTCAATTCTAAGAAAAAAGTCAGAATTGGGGAAAAAAAAAGAATCAGATTTGCAAGATATAAATTCGGAAAAATAGCGAGAAAAAAGTCAGAATTTCAACTTTTATGTCGCAATTCCGACTTTATTTCTTACAATTGCGAGTTTATATCTCACAATTCTGACTTTATAACTCGCGATTGTGAGTTTATATCTAGGGATGGGTATCGTTAAGGTTTTAACGGTATTACTACTCTTACCGATAGAGCTTATCGATACTCCGGTCTTTCATAATTTAGCCCCGGGACCGATTAAATACCGGGTTTCGGTACCCATCCCTATTTATATCTCACAATTCTGAGAAAAATGGTCAGAAATGCGAGTTTGTATTATGCAATTCTGAGAAAAAAAGTCAGAATTGTGAGATGTAAACTCAATTACCTTTTTATTTTTATTCAATGTCAGAAACGGGCTTCCATAGAAGTCTTTTGTAACACGTTTAAAAAGGAATCGGAAAAATACCAACACTGCAAATCGGTTGGTCGATTTTGCTGTCAATTAATAAAGTACTGTTCACAGTAAATTTTAGTTACACATACAGTAAATTTTGTCTCTGCATCTTTCTTGAAGTATATTGGAATGCATGTGGATTACAGTCCGGATCATATAGTCTTGGAAGAACTGACTGAGAAATACATTTATATTAAAATTTTACCGCTGTTTACACTGCAATCAATTGAGATATTAAAGAGGCTAGTCTTCATCTTAATGAAATTGTCCTTTTTTTGTTGACGTTAGAAGTGTCTTTGTCAGTCTGAAGGAGACCATTAGCCCAAAGACACCTATAGACATTCTGGACACACTCGCCAAACTCCTGTGCTAATAGGCCATTAGGAGAAAGGGTAGTTACTCTTGCATTGTTAACCTCAAGGCTAATTGGGCTCCAGCTCTATGGAATCCTTTACCTCTTTTAAGAAAAGCAAATTGACTCCACATTGAACTCCAGCATGGAAGAATCAAGTAATAACTTGATGGAGTTCCAGGCATAGTAAGTCCATAGTGACGGCTATGAGATTAATGTTGTGGTCTGACCCAAGCTAATAAGTCTTCAGGATCTGAAATTTCGATCCAGTTTCAGACTTCAGCATGTTATTGGATTTACTGGATCAATTGTAGACTTTATCAATGGAAGTATTGATATGGGGTGTGACTTGTTCTTCTGTACCACAGAGTAAACCATAGCTCTATAATAAATCAGGTTGACTGAATTTTATCCATTTGTTGTCTGATTATATGATTTTCCCCCCTTTTTTTAATCAAATATCAATGAAACACATGCACATGTTCTTCATTTTCTATGAAAGCCTCTCAAATCCTTTAAAACGCCATCTTTGAAACCTAATATATTTGTCGATAGAACATTAGGCAGGTTTATACGTGTAGCTGCATGGCAGGGGTTTTCTTGTTAATCTGACATGGGGTATTAGAATGCAAATAGAGTCTAGTTTTAAGAGCTTTGACTTTTTTCCCCTCCATCTGCAGTGAATCGTTAGCTGAAGAAGTATTACCTTGACAAATTAATAAATGATTGCCTTAGTCATGCTTCTTGAATACTTTAGTTCTGGGGTATAGATGCTGAATTGAGAGCATTCATCATCAATCTGCCTTCATAAATGGCTGATAAGGTTTATGGGAATGCTGCAATGAATTGCTAATCCTTATAGCGTCAAATTCTACAACACCTGATTATTATCTCCTGCCAGTTGTAAGACAGCCAGTAATTCTGGTGCCTTAATGATTCTATTAACAGTTCTTTTAAGGAATAAATATTGGGAAGTGCAGTTCTTTTGACAAATAACAAGATGCTTTCATAACAAATAAATTTTTTTATTAATTCTTGCAAAAGGTATGTTTACACAGGTTTTTTTTTTTTAAATAACTGCTTGTTTTTAGAGGCAATCACAATCCAGTATTTGCCCTTAACTGTAGAAGAGACATAAAATAAAATAAAATAAAATAAAATAAAAAAATTTGGTAACATTTTATTTATTTATTATTATAAAATATGACAAAAATTAGAATACGTATCTTTAACTACTGTACACACGTCACATGAATTACCAGTCAATAACTAAACTGAAGTAGGTTATACTGCAGTTTGTTGTAGGATATATGTGACCCTGCACCACAAAACTTCAGATGTCTCAGATTTATAAATAATCTGAAAGCTGAATAATTAAGCTTTCCATTGATGTATGGTTTGTTACGATAGGACAATATTTGGCCGAGATACAACTATTTGAAAATCTGGAATCTGAGGGTGCAAAAAAATCAAAATACTGAGAAAATCGCCTTTAAAGTTGTCGAAATTAAGTTCTTAGCAATGCATATTGCTAATCAAAAATTAACTTTTGATATATTTACGATAAGGAATTTGCAAAATATCTTCATGAAATCTTTACTTAATGTCCTAATGATTTTTGGCATAAAAGAAAAATCGCTAATTTTGACCCATACAATGTTATTTTGGCTATTGCTAAAAATATACCCAAGAGACTTAAGACTGGTTTTGTGGTCCAGGGTCACATATCTGTTTGATTCACTCAGAAGAACTGACTCATTACAGCCATTCGTTCAGGTATCAGGCTGTACTGGTTGTACTGAATGTTTTCGGATTCACAAAAAAAAATGGCTCAAGTTTCAGGAATCACACTACACTGTTTATGATGCATGCTTTTGATTCACTATAAGAATAACTGTTCATAAGAGTCCTTCGTTCAGAAATCAGAATACACTGTTTGTGGTCAATGTTTTTGATTTACTAAAGAAATTGTTTATAAGAGTGATTCGTTTGGGAATTGGACGACACCGATTGCACGCTATGGTTGTTTTTGATTCTCTAAGAAGAGCTGACTCATAAGAGTCATTTGTTCAGGAATCAGACTACAGTGATTGCGTTGTATGTTTGTGATTATAAAAAAAAAGAACCGTTAATAAGAATAATTTAGTTTGATTGTGCTCTATGTTTGTGATTTACTACAAATAGTGATTTGTTTGGGATTCGTATTAAATAAGTATTGCAGGACACTGAGCATTTTAGAGTGTTATTCTGCCCCCGACCATTATGTCTTTGTATTTATTTATTTTTTTTTTTACTGGAGTTAAAATCTCAAGTTCTGCTGAGCGTAAAGCTATCCTTCCCGTAATGATGTAGGATAGGAGACTGATCCAGACGTCATACAGGTTAGTAGGGTCATACAGTAAACTTTCATCTGTACTGTGTGAATATTTTTTTTCCTTTTGCAGCTCAGCTTGTTTGCCTTCTGGCTCCATCCCTTTCTTGTTCAGGTTAAAGGTCCATTCTGCTTGTCTTGAGCTGCAAATTGGCTTTGGAAATGTGGATGAGGAGTCTGATAACTCGGTAAATGAGTGTAGCCTTGCTAATAGGCCGTAGTTAAGTCAAATTCCAGAGGGGACACTTGCGTAATTGCCATCTTCTTACTTTTACTTATTATTTCAGCAATTTAGTGCATTTTCAGCCTACTGATTTAAATGCATTGAAACGAGTTTTCATCATCTTTTTCTTTAAGCGCTGAAGATTAACGGCCATCACGTTAAGTTAACTGACATGTCATGAATGACTCAGTGTGGCGAATCCATTTGTAATGGGAGGGAATGATACCATGTTAGGGATTAGAACTTCTTCACGAAATCGAAATGATTCAAGATGATTCATAACATATCTGACAGACTGTTTTCTTACAATCAAATCTCTCATTAATAGCCAATAATATGAAAATCCCACTTTTTGGTTAAATCAAGAATTATCATGATCATATCAACATCTTGTGCTGGTAAGTTCCTCAGTGTTTTTCAGCATTTAATCATCATCTCTCGGGAGCCAATGGCAAGTGCTGATTACTTCCCTCAGTAACAGATAATTAGTCATAATTAGGTGGTGATATAGCAAGGTTGTTGCCATGGTAATCAAGTG